TCCAGCCACCTGCCCGGCTGCTTTGGGGATCTCTGATGGGCACAACGTCTATTCCTCGGGAACGTGGTCAAGCAGGGAGGTAGGGAGAAGACAACCAGAGCAAGGGGCTTCTCCTGGGGAGGGGCCTAAAGCACAGGCAAGCTGGAGATGCCCCTTGTTGGAGAAAGGCTTCTTTGTCTTGTGTGTTTAGATGCTCCAGGGGCCAGAGACGTAGCCCACCAGCTGCTCAGAGCCACTTACAAGGCTCCCACCTCTGAGCAGCAGAGAACTGAGGCCTCTTGTCTCGCTCCCTCTCCCGCAGGACTGCCTGAAAGCCTGTCAGGAGCAGATTGAGGCAGCCTTAGCCGAGAGCCTGAAACAGGCGTCCCAAACCCAACAGGAATACAGCGCCGCCAAGACTGCTGCTTACCCGGCCAGCCAGCCCACCAGCACGCCCACAGACGTCACGGACATCAACCTGTGACCACCCTCCCCTTCCCGAGAGCTGCCCAGCCCTGCCGCAGCAGGACCTCGCCCTGGACACCGAAAGGTCGCTGCATCCCACCTACCCATCCGTCAGCCCTCTCCATCTCACGCCTGCTGAGGATTCATTCCACCGGCTGGGAGCATGGAGCAGGATCCGCGCTCGTCTGTCAGGGCTCGGCGCTCCGCAGGCGGCCGGGGTGAAGCGACTGTTTTCATGGTGGCAGGGCACAAGAGTTGCTGGGGAGGGGAAGCAGGACCCAAAATGAAGTTGTAAGATGTTTCTCAGTTCGTGTTGCCCGTAGCCTGGCTGGCTGCTGTTCGCCGTCTCTTCGGGGGTGCCTACCGTGACGACGTCCAGTGCTGCGTGGGCTATCAATCATGGATAGCGAGCCTCTTACTCTGCCCTACGTGACCAAAATCCCTGTAACCCCGCCAACCTCCCTCCCCGGGCTGGGGTGCTACAGGCCCGCGTGGCTCACGACAGAGAAGCGGGTGCCCAGGAGGAGGGAGCGGGTGCTTGTTGGCCCCTTGATCCCATTGCTTCGTGCCAGATCGCTGTGGCTCCTGGGGGGGTGGCATGGCTGCTTCTGCTTGGAGGGGAAACGTGTGGCTTGTTCCTTGTTGCCGATAGATTTGGGATTTGCGGGTTTTTGGCTTGCTTGGGGGATGTGCTCCCCATCCGTGTGGACTCCGCTTCGGGGAGCAGCCTCCTGGGCAAGGTTTGGGCGCAATCCCCTTGGCTTTCCGCTGCCCCACTAAGGCTGCTTAATTTATTGTTAACTGCTGGGAAATGGGGAGGGAGGAAGACTTTGCAGTTCCTTGGTGTGGGGCCTGGATGCTGGTCTCCTCTGCTTCCGAAAGAGTGCCTTTACCCTTCGTCCCCTTCCCTAGCTCCCTGGGCAATGGGAGACTCTCACTTGGAAGCTGGTTGTTTTTTTAGGTAGCTTAGACATCAGACTAGGTTTTAAGAAATACATTTGAATGTGCTGCTATAGTCCGAAATGCATCTTCACTCCTCCAAGGCAGGGATCTCGGATCGCGTTTCAGGAGGGGGCTGCGTTGCATATATGTCCATGTGGGTCTGAGCTGCATCCTCATCAGGTGGAAAATTTGCTGCGCACTTGAGTTGAAAAGCGATTATTGCATTTTTGTATTGTTGTTGTTGATCCTGTCTGTTAGTTTTTATAAAAAGTGTTTTAAAAAAAAAAAATAATGCTGCTTTTCTGAGAGAAAACCATTAAATAGTAGAATTGTATTAACCAGAAGCCGGAGAGACTCTGCAGGGATGGGAGGCAGACTGCTGCTGCTTGGTGACCTCTGGACACATGGATCCGTGGCTGTTGTCCTCCCATGGGGGATGCAGAAAAAGAGGTAGAAATCTTCCTTTTTGGATGCCACTAGAAACAAAAGTCGTATCAGGTGGAAAAAGATGGGGCTGCTGTTCTTCCACTAGCCTGATTTGTCAAGAAGAGCCGCCTGCCAGTGACCCCTGCTAGCAGGGGGGCTGCGGGGCATGCAGAGCCTGTCTGGATAAAAAGAAAAAAATTTTTTTATATATAAAGGAGTTTTAATTTAAGAGTAAACTGGTTTGGTGTTCACACACGAGAGTCCCACTGCTGGGAAAATCAGAGGACCGTATGATGTTGCAATAAAGTATTTTAAACAAGTACGAATGCCTCAAGGGTCTCCTTTCGCGCTCCGCGCTGTGCCTTGGGCAGCCCAGAGAAGACTCTTAGCTTCCCCTTCACTTGCAGAGCTCCTGCCTCTGCCCCACATAGCTCTGGGGTGGGACCTCATCACTGGATCCCCTGCTGGGTCCCCTCGGGCTGCTCCCAGAGGCTCCAGCCCTGTGTTTCCCAGGGCTGCAAGAGCAGGATAGAACAGGGAGCAGGCAGGCAG